ATGCGATTTCATCAGCAGTTTTGAATATGGTGATCTCAGGTGACCTCAGTGACCTCAAAAGGTCAACTTAACGTTTTCGCCATTGCAGCCATTCTATAACTCAGAAACGATTGGGTCGATCGAGACGAAAACACCACCAGTCGATTCAGCGTACACGATTTTACCATCTGTGTCGAATATGGTGACTTCAGGTGACCTCAGTGACCTTGGGAGGTCTCATGACCGTTGTCGCGCCTATGGCAGCCATTCTATAACTCAGAAACTACTGGGCTGATCGAGACGAAAACACCACCAGTCGTTTCAGCGTATGCGATTTCATCAGCCGTTTCGAATATGGTGACCTCAGGTAACCTCGGTGACCTTGGGAGGTCATGTGACCTTCCAAAGCGCGAGCCACCAGAAGAATTTTCAATCAATTTTTAATCATTAAGCAGTCAATAGTTTGACGGCAGTGCAACGGATGCACTATGGTGAGACGTACCCCCCGAACAGTTTTTCGTCACGCCCAGGCCGTACCTATCTACATAGTGAGACGTACCCGAACACTTTATTTATTTACCGATTTGCCACAGTATGTTTTAGGATGTTTAGAACGGCTTTCGCTAAAAAAAAGCCTCGCAACTCAGTTTTCTTCCATTGACTTATTGAGGGGGATGTTGTAAAATTTATCTGACATCAGCTCACTGACATATCTTTCCGAGATTTTTTGTACCTAAATCGTGTCACCCTTATAGGTATGTAAGTACCTATCAATCGCGGGAAGTTTCAAAGCAATCAGTTAGTCAGTGTAGCTGTGACGAGCAAAAAGATTTATTGAGATTGGGGGACTTGATGTGTCCTGTTATGAGTCCTGGGCCACGCAGCGATACGCGGAAGGCTGCGTTCGAAAGAGCGCCAAAAATAATTACGAAATTACTTCGGTCGCTTTTTTGGTCAGGTCAAAGGTCAGGTCACAAGAGGTCATTGAAAGCAAAATTTCGCCGATTTTCAGGTCGAATGTCGACAATTTCCAAGGAGCCAACGCATAACTCGGGAACCAATAGAGCTACAACGCCGCAGAAAAGCGCATTCGATAGCCCTATTAACGCCCTTTCTGAGAATTTATCTCAGATTTGACCTAACAACAACGGTTTTGCCTGCAGGCAGGGGGCAAAAACTGCAAAAATAGCCGATGTTTTTCGGAAACAGTTTTTCTGCAATAACTTTTGACCCAGGCCTTGTACGAGCTTACTTTTACCGGCATCGTGTTCCTCTCGTCAAGACGCATCGAATGAGCTATAACTTGACCTTGAAAGGTCAACTTGAAAATTTGACTTCAGTTCAAGGTCATGACCTGACCGGAAAATGTCATGTTGCATATCAGTCGATCCGTATTCCGTATCGTCGAGCTGAACACATCGAAGGCGTTTTCATCGCTCTAGCATGCCTCTATCAAAAGTTATTTGTGAAAAACTGTTAGATACCATTCGTGACCTCAGATGACCTCACGCGACGGGAATAAAGAGGGATCACGGACACCATTTTCATGTTCATTGTGTCAAAACCACTTGTAATTCAGTGTTTGGGAGTGTTTATAATGTCTTTCGTCCAAAAGAGGCGCATTTCAATTTTCTCCCATTGACAAATGGGAAGTCGCAAAATTGACCTGACCTTAGGTCATCGATATCAAAATTCTGAGATATACATTTTGTACATGCTATTGCTCTTAGGCAGCAATCGCTGAAAGTTTCAAAGCGATCGGTCACTCAGTGTAGCTATGGCAGACATTGAAACTTTTATGAGGTGAGGTCACTTCAAGTGATCTGGTGACCTGACCTTGAATGGCCTTGGTCTAAAATTTTCACAACAAGTATAGAATTGATGTATGATAAGGTGTACCAAAAAGATATTCGCGAAAACCACAGAGAGTTCAACCCCCCCCCCCCCCCAGCAGGGCGCAGGACGCAGGTTAACCCTCGCCCGCCGAAGTGCGGGCGGTTGTCCCCCCCCCCCCCATAAGTTTTTTTTTGCGATAGCTCGGAACACGCTGTCTATAGAGAACCGAAGCATGGCCTACCTATCTGACCTTCCATTTAAGCCGGATCTTGTGACTTAACCCGCGAGTTGCTGGGGGGGGGGGGCGTTAAACGCCCCCACTTTTTTCGCCGGGCCATAGCATTAAAACGGCGCGCCGCAGGCGCGCCAAATTTTGGGTACCTGTAGGGAATTGATTGAAGTTTATTGTGACAAAGTTTCAAAAAAATCGGTCGGAAAATTTTTGAGATATCGAGGTTTTAGTGACGTCATGATTTCTGAGTTTTCGACCAAAAACGGCATATGTTCAAAAAATCATATAAAATCACAGAATAGACATACAGACATGCCGTAAACGCCATTAGACTGCCAATACCATGATCAATCAAATGGCTATCTTCGATTATTGATTATCGTTCCGTATTTTCCATAATCTTGAACTGAATCTTGGCAATTTTTCGTGACTACTTCACGACCATGATACATGCATTTCTTAAATTGAACTTTTTGAGCCAAACACGTACACATATGATAAAATGAATGTCACCATCGTGTTCTACGCCCCAAATTACCTATAAAACATGTGTCACAGGCTGCGTATATCAGTTTTGATTTTCGGGGATATGTGCCTACCCGGTTGACCTGACCTTGACCCTGACCTATGCTTGACTGACCCCTACATCGAGCTGACACTCTTGTAAGCATTATATGATGGATTGTGCACCGTTTCGACAGAGTTTATGACGAGAGGCGCCCATTGCGAAGTCCTGAAGTCCATGCTACTGAAAGCCCGATTTCAGGTGTTTGACCTGACCTTGACCCGACCTGTGACCTCAAAATTCAACTTTAAAGTACTCGTCTGAAGCGTCTCGTCGCGCTCTTTCGTTTGCCGCCTCGTGCGTTTCGCTGCGCCTATTGGTTCTCGAGTTATCGGCTGGGGGCGTTTAACGCCCCCCCCCCCAGCAAACGGTGGGTGGCGAAATACCCCAGCAACTGCCGGGTTAAACCGCATTTCGGGTCAGGTCAGGTCAGGCCACTGACCTATGACGTCGTAAGTGAACCTCGGCACGGCCCTAAAATGTCGCAACTTCGGAACGCCCTCATTCCTTAATGCCAGAGGAGCTTTTGCGGGGAGATGAAACTTACAGGACCTAGTATCCTCGATAGGTTTCACAGCTTGTATAGATCAGATTTTCCTAAGGGTCACCTGAGGTCAGGTCGGTCACGTGACCTCACCATTATAAGTCAATGGGGAAATATGGAAACTGTATTTTTGGCGCAGGGAATGATATACAACTATCTGAAGCAAGCGAAACCGTGATAACATGCACTTCTTGCTAAGTCTTATGCTTCAATTGTGCACTGTTGATCTTACGTAGTTATATATGACGTCACTAACGTCATATGAGTTTTTTTTTGTCAATAACTTCCGATCAAATTGAGCTAGCAAGTCGGGAAAACCATCAATTGACTCGGGAAGATCTGCCAAAAATGCGATATGACTTAAGTTGACCAGCATCGTCACTTCAGGGGCTCTGACTTGACCTTGACCCGAGGTCAACATCTTTAGTTGACCTCAATCGAACAAAAAGTAGGTATACCAATCGACACTCTGAGCATGGAGAATAGTGGTGTCAATCGGAGCTTAAATCTTCGGATTTTCGAGTTTGTCCAATGAAATGCCCAAGCAAGTCGGAATTTGGTTTGACAAAGACAACAGGCTTGGGACAACATTGGACACTGGACAGTCACTTGCTCCACCTCAGCATTTATATGAAGTAATCGTGTGTAGCCTTGACTGGCGAATAGAAAGCTCAGGTTTCGATATGATAAACACTTTGGAGGTGGTAATAGTTGGTACATTAAAAGCAAATTAAATAACAGTGTTGAGTAGGTTTCGTACGTCTTTGGACAAATGGCTGGCTTGGACATTTTTGGACGGACTGTGGACGTACCTAAGTGTTGGACATTTGACAGACATTGGACATACCTACATTTTCTGAAAATGACACCACTAATTGAGAATACGATAGTGCCAAAATCGCTGCTCTGCGACCTTTTTAGGCGAAGTTATTTACCAAAAACCAAACCTTGGGCCTTGCTTGTGCCTATGGGCCGCTTGACTGAGCTCAGAGGTCACCGGTTGACCTGAGATCCTAAAATCGGGTACCAATCGCTGCGTCTCTTAACGGCCCGCACTGCACACACGCTCATTATTCCGCGAAGCTCTAGATCAATTAGACGCAAAGCGGCGAGGGCTTCGTACCACCCCCACACCTCGACCGGGCGTATGCAGAAAACCAATAAGTCCGGCGAGGGAGTCGCCTCACAGATGACAGAAGATCTAAAAGAATACATTTAATGCTGTCTAGGTACGGTAAAAAAGGCTGTGAAAAATTCCACGAAATAGCCACAGAGTGAAATCTAGCGACTAGCATTATCATCGGGTAGGTATACTGGAAAAGCTACTTAACAAGGTCACTTATGACGATATCCTCACAGCATAGGGGAGATCCGTGTAAGACGCCCAGGGTCGGTAAGAGGCCCCATCGCTTTTTTCACCAAACCAATAATGTTATTTATTTTTTAATGTTCTTGTAAAGCAGAAGCCCTCTTGAAACAACAACTCACGAAACCTGAGGTATCAGGTGCGTCGAAGCGACTTTTGGTAAGCCTGTTTCTGTTTTTGCCCCTTTACTTGCTAGATATATGCATCTTTATCACCCTTATATATCTGAAAAAAACAATGGCTATCAAATGCAATCTTTTCTCATCGAAATTGTCACATGTTAGCTTCAGAATAGACCATGTTCTGGTGCGCTGCAAATGTCTCATAAACCATAAATATTGTGGACGTAAAAACACTGTATTTTTTTAAGAGGCCCTCCCTTCGAGGATGATAAAACGCCCCCCGATAAAAAAAACGCCCCCGATGCTAAAACGCCTGCACCTGCGGCAGGCGTGGCATTCTTTTTTCAAGGAGTTTGTTTTTGTTTCTTTTTTCTGTTTCTTTTCTTAGAGGTTATAGGTACAATTTTCGTTGGTCATCAGCGTTTGGTTGTGCTAGTTTTCGCATTGTTCGAGCGCTTTGGAAGTGTTATTGGTTTCGATAACACCGTATTTGCTTAGCTTTTCGAAATAAAAGGCCTTGCAGCTGTGTTCGCAAAGCGTCTTTTACAAGTCGACTTGACTTTTAAAACGCCCGAGGGGGGGGGCGTCTTACCATACCCATAGTGTAAGAGGCCCTTTTGCAACTTTTTCCAAAATGTTAAAGTTTACGGTTTGTGTACCCCCTAGATTCATTTTGAATGCAAATATGTATGGGAAAATGATGCATGCTCACAGCGCATGCACACGTTAGCGCTTAAATATTATCAGTTGTCTAAAAATAGTAACTGAGCTTAAGGGGGGGCCTCCTGCACCACTCTCCCCTACTTAATTTAATAAGCATGCTTCAACACTAGCGTGTAGCATTAAAAAGGCTCGAGCTGCCAAATCATCCAAGGACAAGCAAACCAGCCTTGGCAGTGGGTGGTAATTCAGAACGGCATGCACTGCAGACGCAGCCAGCCACCCGGAACATGTTGTAAGCACGCACTTGTCAGCTTCAAGCCTGTAATTTCTCCGCAACCGCAGGGGAGATCGCACAAGATAGTCGCAAGTGCAGGCATGCGACGATGCTATTTCTGGCACTTGCGTTCGTTTGACAAAATATCTCAACGCTCTGGTAAGTCACAACCCTGGTGCAAGTGCTCTCATGGTACGAGCAGATTAACGCCAGCATATACCAGCGTCATTGCAGAGGCGCCAGGAGGTCAGTTCCCTATGTCGAGCAGCAAGTTTACGTGCGTCATCTCCGGAGTCCGGACAAGTGTCCGCTTTTCCCAAAGTTTCACATGGTTTTGCTCGTAGACGTCTTAAACGTTTTATTTTTTATTAAAAAAGTCAATCACATTTAAACACTAACACACAGCATCAATTTGACCGAAAATGTCAATCAATGAATGCTTTGATTGATGGTTCTTATACACTTTTACAGATACGGGTACTTATGGGCTGGCAAAGGTACCAGCTTGCCATTGACATAATGCTTGCACACCAGCCTGGGACAGCAGTCAGGAAAGGACTTGCGTCGGTCACCCGAAGCTTGTCTGCAGAACAAGTTACCAGCTTTCAGCTTCTTGAAGTCGACCTTGTCGGCCACGGCGGGGCATCTGCAACGAGATAAACATGTAATGTAAACTGTAGTTGGCCCATGGCAGCGAAACAAAACTGCATTTAGATTGTAGGGTTTCCGAATAGCAATCCTGACAAACGACTATATGAGAAGTAAAGTAAAATTATTTAAATGCTGTAATAAAAATAGCAATACATTACAACAGCGTAAAAGTTTTCGACGAACTTTAGTTTGAAATCGTCATTGACAATAGGTAATTGTTACCTCCTATAGAGCCCCGTGTTAAGTCTCTTTTTTACGAAAAAAATGAGCAAATGAGGCATTGGCTCTGCAAATACCGTGCATACCATCCAACATGTAATTGGAACATATCTATGTGTTAACTGGAGACGAACAACAAAACCGCCTTACTCACTGGAATCTGTCAATGAACAGAACACCGTTTTCCCTGATGCAGTGGCTCTGTTTGCAACCCGAGTAGCGGGAGCTCCATACTTCTCCGACTTTAAATCTTTTGTAAATCTGCTTGTCTAGGCATTCCGTGTCTGGGTCTGCAACATAAATAGGTAGGTATATCAATCATGCGTATAATAATCATCGTGGGAAATTCACATTATCGATAAACGCAAAATAAATACGGCACCATGCCGCCCTGCCTACCCATAACAACGTATCGAACAAAACATTCTTACACATTGGCTCGGGCGTCACATAATCGGTATTTTTCATAGTATTTTTCATGATGCTGTCTGAAAAAAAAACACGACTTGACCGCTGAATCGCAACACTATATAATATATATGGCCTTGATCGCAACCTTCTTTCCAAATCACGAATCAGAATAATGATTCGGACGCACAACAAAATTGCTCCTAAGCGAAATACGCATGGTAGGTAAGCCTGAGTCCACTTTCATGTATACTATTTTGGGAACAATATACAAAGTTGCTACATAGCGAACTATAGAGTAGCCGTTTTCACGACGGTCTAATCCGGCGAGTGCACCTAATTTGACCAAATCTGCACCTAATCTCTTTTACAGCAAATATCTTCATTTTATGAACTTATTTTAGAGTTTTAATCGATGATGCCCTCTGATAATACGACAAAGCAGGCATATAAGCGATTAGTGTAACCCTAGCTGATAGCTACTAAGAGACACACTGCCGAACCTGATTTGACCAAATCTGCACCTGATCTGCACCAGATATGCACCAAATGTGTACCAGATGGCCGTCGTGAAAACGGCTAATACCTACCATATGCCTCTCATGGTATGATATTCCCCATTTTCGAGAACGAATGCATACTGCATATGTCACCGCAAATTCCCTCACCTCTCCCGACGGGCAGCTTGATGTACCGGGGGTAGTGCCACTGGGCACAGCAGAGCTGGGCGCAAAGCGAGAGCAGCACCAGAGCTCTGAGCATGACGGCGATCCTCTACCAGAGACAGCGGCCGGGTGATGACAATCACAGGAAGTGGTCGAAGGGGGTGCGCCGTGCCTGTCAGGGGTGCGCCGCGCTGTCCTGGGCGGGTGTGCGTGCCGAGTGCTCTCCGTTCGCCCTCTGCACCCTCCGTCCGGCCGGCGTCGGTTATATGTCGGACACAGCGGCTTCCGGCTGCGTGAACGGGGAGTGGAACGGGCTGGGCAGGACCTGATTGATCCAGCCACGAGCGGCACGCACAAACGAGCCAAATACACGTGTTGTGGCGCTGCAATGTCGAAGGATAATGCTCTGGATTGAATACCCACATTGAACTTGTAAGGTGGATGAATCACTCGCAATTTTACGGAAATCTAATGAGGGCTAATATTTTCTACACAGAAAGTCGCTGCACGTGGAGATTCTTCATTAAACATCACAAAGAAGGCATGATTTACTTACCTGCTCGAATGTTCTTTACTGCGCTTATATGCTTATATTAAGAAGGTAACTGTCACCAAAATATATCCCTATCATTGGAACATACCAGGGACGTAGCCAAGGGGGGGGGGGCGGAGGGGGCGCCCGCCCCTCCCTTGGGGTTTTCAGGAGGCCCCCCCGAAAGGATTCAGGCCAACGTGGGCCGAAGGCCCACGTTGGCCTGAATCCTTTCGGCCTAAATCCAACGTGGGCCGAAGGCCCACGTTGGCCAAAATCACGTCGGAGGCGAACGAAATTCACCCGGGAATCTAAAAAATGACGTCAGAACAATCAGGGCCCTCTGACCAGCCTGACAAGTGACAGCTAGGGCCCTTCTCATCTCCTGTGAATAACCACTAGTGTCTGTGTCTGACCGCTAAGGCCCCTCTGACTCCTCAGTAGAGAGGAGGCCCTCTGTGGGTAGGAGGCCCTGTGTAGAGAGGAGGCCCCCTTAGAGAGGAGACCCCCTGTAGAGAGGAGGCCCTCTGCAAAAAGGAGGCCCTCTGTAAAATAGAGGCACTCTGTAAAAAGGAGGCCCTCTGTAGAGAGGAGGCCCTCTGTAGAGAGGAGATCGTCTTAAGAGAGGAGGCCCTCTGTAGAGAGGAGATCGTCTGAAGAGAGGAGGCTCTCTGTAGAGGAGGACTCCCTCAGTAGAAAGGAGGTCCTCTGTAGGTAGGAGGCCCTCAGTAGAGTGAAGGCCCTCTGAAGAGAGGAGGCCCTTTGCAGAGATGAGGTCCTCGGTATAGAGGAGGTCCTGTGTAGAGACGAGACTCTGAAGAGAGGAGGCCCTACATAGATAGGAAGCCCTCTGTAGAGAGGAGGTCCCTGTAGAGACTAGAGAGGAGGCCCTCTGTAGAGAGGATGCCCTCTGTAAAGGAGGCCCTCTGGAGAGAAAGACACCCTCAGCAGAGAGGAGGCCCTCTGTAGATAAGAGGCAATCTGTAGAGAGGAAGCCCTCTGTGGCTGTGTTGGTATTTTTACGATGGAGGCAATTACCCAAACCATTTATCAAACCGTGGTGATATTCCCATAGCCATGCTTCGCACAACTCATAATAATTTATTTGACCGGGAAATTAATATATACCTATCCATCGATTGTTTGTTTCATCTACGGCGTAAATGAAGCAAACCACCTGGGCCATAGGAAAATTTACTAACGAAACCATGTTTTACTTACAGCAAGTAAACGTGGCATCATTCACACATAAAAAATTGATAACCGTATAGCTTCAATCTTGCAGACGTCAGTCAGGTCAGAATCGTGACAAGCCTATTGGAAAATATAATGAACTGTGTCCTGCTTCGAGAAAACGAGTCAAAACCACCCAATTCTTTCTGAATTAGGTACGTCAGGTCAGATTATCTGATCTGTAAGCACCCAGGTGGCATTTACTGACAGGGGCACCGGGAAGGATCATCTGAGGTGAGGTGAGGTCATCAACAGTTTTTAGCCAATAAATCACGACATGATGGGGCTAGATAGTTGTTAGTGTACCAAACCGTTCGCCTGGTCATGACGCGCCGATTGGTACCCAGCGTGACCTTCCTAGGTCAGATTTTGAAGTTGACCTATCTATGTAGGTCGTTATAAACCATGTTATTTGTTATGACCTCTGGCGACCTCAATATTGACCTGACCCAAAAAAGTTGTTTACAAAAGTTGTAAGTCGTTCAACGAACTATCAAACGCCGTTGCCGTTTGTCGCTACGATTCGTGCTTTTCGAGTTCTGACGGGGGCCAAAAAGGCCCCCGCCCGATTCAGAGTCTTTCAGAGCCCGCCCGGAATACGGTTAAGCGCTTGAACGATATATGATAATACACCAAGTGTTAGGTACTCTGACCGTCATCCAGTATCCATCCATTCCTCGCAGATCCTCCCCCCCCCTCCTGCTGCGGTCCGGCCGCCGCCGCCGCCGCCGCCGGCGCCCGAGCTTTTTTTTTTGCCAGTTACCATGCCACTGGGAGACTTGTGATATGCGTATGTTTCTTACCGCGACAGCGGTAAGAATAAAGAAACATACCAGTGCGCTGGCCATATGAAAGCTGAACAAAAGTCTGCATTATGTTGTATATGTAATTTGTAGGCATGAGACCCTCTGTAGAAAGGAGGCCCCTTTAGGGAGGAGGCCCTCTGTAGAAAGGAGGCCCCCGGGATTCCTCCGCCCCTCCCTTGGCCAAATCCTAGCTACGTGCCTGGAACATACGGTTGCATTTGGACAAACTAACGGACCGCTGTTTTCATAAATTTTATGTGCTAACGACTTCTGTGCAAAACATAACGTTCTCTGCCCAGTTACAATGAAAGATTTGAGATGGGTTGATAGCACCGTAAGCCAGGGATTGTTTTGTGGTCATATCTCATGAAGGAACACAACAACACGGTTATGGGGAACACGATGTTGATCCAAGTTGTGAGTAAATGGACCCAGTCAAGGAAGCATTGTTGGAACATTGAAAGTGTTCTCGAGTTTGTAATGAGACCGCGGTTAGTTGACCGCACCACGCGGCCGGTTCATGGCAAAGCAGAGCCATATAACAAGGCAAGATACCTGGGGACTGCAACGCAGCACACATATGTACAGTACCGACTTCCGCGGGAGACTGCAGTCGTACACAAGAGAATATCACGCTGCTCCTGACAGTCACCCAGATGGAGACTTCCAATTGCTTTTGTATATCATTATGCTTTCCGCAGTTGTATTTAATCCGTTATCTGCAATGAGTAGGTAGTCATCATTCATCATTAACTTTTTTAGGATCTGTCTCTTCGTGATCTGCTCCAAGCAGTCAGCGGCTGCTAGCGATCACTTTCAACATTTTTCAGTTACCTTATTGCTTCGACGACATAGCTGAACTACTATGACATTTCTTTTCTCACGCATTTTACCGTTAGGCTCTGGAACCATAACACCATTAAAATGGCAACGACCGCTCGCTTGGCAACGGACAAGTTCTCCAGAACAGGGTCATCATCTTACTCTTGGTTGCACGTGCAGCGAACACAGTGAAATGCGTAAAACGCGCAGTGAAACACGGATTAACGCAAGGATTAACGGCACTGAACGTGAACTGAGATAACCCCCGCAGTTCGCTTAATTCTCTGCAGCTTAGTCTTGTGACGTCAGCGAGCATCCCTGGTTACAAGCCAGGGGAGGGATGGTAGATATGGGTAGATACAGCCGTTTTCAGGACGGGCTATGAGGCAGATGCACGTAGTTTGACCAAATCTGCACCAAATCTCTTTCACAATAAATATACCTATTCGTATCATGAATTTATTTCAGTGTTTTAATCGGAAACAAGGTCTGAAAGTTGAAAAATGAGGTAGGTATATAAGCATCTGTGCAGCCCAAATTGATAACTCTAAGGAACACACTGAACCTCATTTGACCAAATCAGGGGCGGATCCAGGAAAACTCCAAGGGGAGGGTCATGAATCGAAGTGGTGCCCCTACCTATACCCAAAATTAAAAACTCAACGGATTTCGTCCACTTCATTTTGGTGGTGCCCCCATTTTCAGTTTTTTATTTTTATTTTTTTATTTTTAGTCAGTATCTTACCTCTTAGCCACAACCACATTTACCAATTGTAAGCAAGTATATATGAATGTGCTATGTGTATATATGTTGTGGACGCTGAGTAATGAGTACTTACCAGGAACGTTATCAGGTAAGAAAATCGTTGTCAGTCCGACGAACTTGACCCTGGCGTCTAAAGGGTCTGTCCTAGACACTTCAGGCTTGTCAGGGGCACCAAAGTCCTTCCAGGGACACCACAAACCTGTCAGGGGCACCTACGGCCTTGTAGGGGCGCCACAGGCCCGCCAGGGGCACCACAGGCCTGCCAGGAAGCAGGGGCACCACAGGTCTAGCAAGTATACACGACAGGCCTGTCAGGGGCACAACGGGCCTGTTGGGCCCATGAGCACCCCTAGGGGCAGGGGCACCACAGTCCTTCCAGGGGCACCGCAGGCCTGTGAGGGGCACCAGCGGCCTAGCAGGGGCACCAGTCAACACAGGCCTGCCAGGGGCACCACAGACCTGCCAGGGGCACCAGAGGCCTGCCAGGAGCACCACCGACCTCGCAGGGGTAACTTGGGCCTGTCAGGGCCCAGGGGCACCACGGGCCTATCGAGAGGCACTTCAGGCTTTTCAGGGGCACCACAGTCCTCTCAGGGCGCAGGGGTAGCAGGGGCACCAGAGGCCTGCCAGGGGCACTACAGGCCTAGCAAGGGCACCACTGGTCTATCAGGGGCACCACGAGCCTGTCATAGCCAGGCATCTCAGGCTTGTCAAGGCCCAGGGGCACCACAGGTCTGTGAGGGGCACCAGCGACCTAGCAGGGGCACCAGTCAACACAGGTCTGCCAGGGGCGCCACAGACCTGCCAGGGGCACCACAGACCTGCCAGGGGCACCAGAGGCCTGCCAGGGGCACCACCGGCCTCGCAGGGGCACCTTGGGCCTGTCAGGGGCACGACGGGCCTGCCGAGGGGCACTTCAGACTTTTCAGGGGCACCAGTCCTCTCCGGGCGCAGGGGCACCAGAGGCCTGCCAGGGGCACTAGCGGCCTAGCAAGGGCACCAGAGGCCTGCCAGGGGCACCAGCGGCCTAGCAAGGGCACCAGAGGCCTGCCAGGGGCACCACAGGCCTAACAAGGGCACCACGGGCCTGTCATGGGCACCTCAGGCTTGTCAGGGCCCAGGGACACCACAGTCCTTTCAAGGGCACCGCAAGCCTGTCAGGGGCACCAGAGGCCTGCCAGGGGCACCACAGGCCTAGCAAGGGCACCTCTGACCTGTCAGGGGCACCTCAGGCTTGTCAGGGCCCAGGGGCACCACAGTCCTTCCAGGGGCATTACAAGCCTGTCAGGGGCACCAGAGGCCTAGCAAGGGCACCACAGGCCTGCCATGGACACCACAGGCCTGCCAGGGGCACCACCGGCCTTGCAGGGGCGCCTCAGGCCTGTCAGGGGCACCACGTGCCTGCCGGGGACACTTCAGGCTTGTCAGGGGCGTTACAGTCCTGTCAGGGCCCAGGGGCACCAGGCCCGTGGTGTCCCTGCTAGGCCTGTGGTGCCCCTGGCGGTCCTGTGGTGCTCCTGTCAGGACTGTGATACCCTTGATAGGCCGGTGGTGCCCCTGGAAGGTCTTTGGGCCCCCGGGCCTCAAGGGGGGGGGCCATGACCCATGTGACCCCCCCTTTGGATCCGCCCCTGGACCAAATCGGCAAAAAATCTGCACCTAATCTGCACCAAATGTGTACCAGATGGGGATCGTGAAAACGGCTTCTGTGCGCTCAATAAATGACAGACCTATATCCACGCATAGTTGACAGGTGCCAAAAAATTCAACAACCAGCCCAAGAACACCCATTTTGGATACAAAATAAAATCGTAGTTACGACGAATCTGAAGGTAATCCGGGTTGTCAGGAAAAGTCGATGACGCCAGCTGGATCTACACTGAAACCTGTGGGCTAGGTGACGTCCAACCCGACATGTGGTATGTAAGGATCGACCAATAAAATGTCATTGACGTCACACCTGAACCGCGTCCAGAGAGATCCGTAGGGAGAATTTGACGTCATACCAGCATGTGTGACGTAGAAAGCGGGGTGACCGGGGAAAATGATAGCTGGGGCTGTGGTCGATTGAAGGTAATCCATGTTTACCCGCCCGTTATTATTTTTTTTTTTCACGAAGTTCTTGATAGTTTGACTTGAGACATTAATTGATGAAATAGAAATCCCATGAGCTTTTCTCAGAAAAAAAAGAACTTGAATGCTTTCTAACGGACAGTGTCATTTATTTTAACCCTCGCATGTGTAGGGGGGGGGTCGGATGGACCCCCCCCCCATGGTTTTTCGCGAATAACTCGCGTAAAAAGCGGCCGATCGCGACGAAACTTTCAGTACCCTCGCATTGATCAATTTTACACCTACCCTGAAAATTTCATGACCCTGACCCAAATGACCTTTGACCTGTGACCTCTTTTCCGAGACCATGTTTGGCCGGAATCGCGATTTCGCGTATGGCGGCTCGCACTAGCCGCGTGTTTGCAAGCTTTTCGTGGTTTCAAACGTTCAAACATGTGATTTGATGTTACTCCCGTGTGTGTCAAGGTCACCTGAAGGTCAGGTCAGGTCATTGACCTTTGGTGACCTCGGGTGACCTCGGTTCACTTTTTCGAGTTTTACATGTTTCTAGGCTAGTTTTTGCAGCTGAATTCGAATTTAGCAACCATTTGAACATTTACGAAGTAGTTTTGGTGACTTCGTAACATGTTACGAAGCTGTCAGAGGCGGTTGACACGTACTACGAATACCCGTCACGACGCCTACTGGTTGACCTGACCTGACCTGACCCGACCTGGTCTAAATGCTTCAAGACATCATCTGTGATCAAAACTAACACGATATTCGTGATCAGCACCCCGAAAAACCCCTTAGCAGCCACACTTTACGACTTTCTAACAGGTCCCGATTTTCCCGACTTTGGGTCATTGACCTGACCTGGAAGGTCAACCAATGACCTAGGACCTTAAAATTGGGTATCATCGGCTTCCTCTCGTCACGGGCAACACGCTCGTTTTTTCCGCGAAGCTCTAGCTCGATCAGGGGCCAAACGGCAAGGGGGGGGTCCAACCGACCCCCCCCCCCCTACACATTAGAAGCTGGCAAACGCCGCACACATGCGAGGGTTAACACTTGACATAGAGTCGTACACTTGTTTAATAGAATAGTAATGCTTTTATATTTCTGCAAAACATAACCGCCATCACACTATCGCTTGCCCCTTACAAAATATGTAGATATGATCATTGAATGATGATGCTGACAAATGTTTCGTTTTGAACTACACAGAGCATGAATTGATAAATTCTACATCAAAGCATCGCTCTACAAACATTTAAATCTATCGCGAATAATAATCACAAAAGTTAAAGTTGAAAAATAATCACATCGTGAATTATGATTACAAAAGTGGATTCAAAATATGTTAATATCATGATCACGACTTGCATCGCACCGCATACACTATAATAACATCAATGTGTTAAAACGTTTTCCAACTCCGCAGTAGCAAAAGCTATAACACACCAATCAAAATCAAAATCAATACAATAAATGAGGATGCCTACACGTTATGATTACAGATCTATACAAATAAATATCACGAAACAGTACCTCAAAGGCCTTGTCTTCCTCCTTTGCATTGAACAGCCAACAGGCGCATTGGACCTCACAGAAAGACGACATAGGTGGTAGGGTCCTGTGCCATCAGCTTCAGTCGAGCTGTGCGAGTATAAGATCTCACAGGTAGGGATACTTATGCAGCGGCAGGGGAACCAACTTCCCGTTGAAGTAGTATTTGCACACCAGGCGGGCACAACAATCTGGAAACGGTTTCCTTCGATCTCCTCTTGCCTCTCGACAGAACAGATTATCGGCCTTCAGCCTCTTGTAGTCCACTTTGTCTTGAACCGAAGGGCATCTGGCGACACACAACACACCATCCATTAGCGCACGGAATGCACGGACTGCATAATGCATTGTTGGCTCAGAGATGCTTGGAATTACACCCAGAAGCTATGCATGGGCAATCAATACATAATGTACGGCGTAGTCGAGTAGCCGTAAGCCGCTTGAGTCCGTTGTTTACTGACGAAATAGTGCGCCGCATTGATTGTGAATCATTCACTTGACAAAAAAAAAAGTTATATAAATAGTAGGAACTTAAGTCGCGGTCTTAGCAACGATATTCAGTACCATGGTCAATCATTTCATCACTATGTATACTCGTATTGTATTTACACTGAACAGCATAGCTTACGCTACTTTACGCTTCGGTAAATACATAGTTATGTTAAAGGTTAAGTGTCACAATCTATCACTACACACTTCCCAACCACTGTAAAATCTCGACATTTAGCGCTCATTTTTGTGGAGAATTAGTCAGACTAGGGACTTACTGGAGCCTGTCGATATAGAGCACACCCTTTTCTCGAATACAGTGGCTCTGCTTGCAGCCGGAGTAGCGCGATGTCCAGACCTCTCCAACTTTGAAGCGCTTGTTAACTTGATAATCCATACATTCTGTATCGGGATCTAAAACATGTCACAATGGCCCCGGATGAGCTTCGTAAGCTCTCAGGCATCTTATTTTCAATATATCTCTTTTTGAGAGTCACCTCCCCTCTTTCAAAATGAAATGACATCTTACACACGTTTATGTTTGATAGATCACAAATAACCAATATTTCTACCATTTGGCAAAAAAATTGGAAAAACTTGATCTATTATCCATTTCTGAACTAAGTAACCCATTTACCCTAATAACAATATCATTGCATAAGAGCTGCACTGATATTGGACTCACCTCTCCCCACAGGGAACTTGAGATACCTCGGGTACTGCGACTGCGCCTGTGAATACGACTGCGCACAGCTGCACAGCTGCGCACTTAGAGACACGACCCCCATCACTGCCAGCAGCCGCATCATGACGCGACCGACGCCTGTAAACGCCGCAGTTGGCACACGAGTTGTCCACCCTATAGGAACGGAGCAGCCGCTTCTGTGTGACCCTGGGGGGCGCGCCGGTGATTATATAGTCGATCTGCACACGATCTGCAGAGTGCCAGCGGAGGCCGTAGGCAGATGAGGTGGTGACCAGGCTCAGACTCCGCCCCCGATCGGCATGAATATCGGTAATTACGTCACTGGAATCCTGAAAAGACAGTTCACTGGTGAGAGAGAGAAGCAGTCGAGCCGGACCGGGGCTGAGTCAACTGGTGGTGATGTTGCATAGTTACTGCTTAGTTTGTTGGCAGGGTGACCATTTGAAAGGCTTCCTGCGAGTTGAATCATTGTTCTGAGTTTGATGAGGTGTTATCTGTTTCCTTCCATGAAGCTTAAATCAGCCGTTAAATCTGAAGGTGCATTCCATTTTAAGTTAAAACGTCTTGAATCTGCACTACCAATGCATATATTTAAATAGTTAAGGGCGAGCATTTTTGCATTCTCTTAGATTCTTCCATATTGATGAAACATGAATGATATTGGCAGGCACAAATAAAGGGCACATTATACTCATAAGTCTTAGGAAAAAAGATGAAGCTACAAGTTATGCTCCATTCTCGAGATATGTCGCAAACTTGATTATTAAGTTCAGCGAGCCGTCTACTAGAGATGTCAATCAGATACCAACTTTTTGGTATACCGATACCAAACCGATACCAACTCGGTATTTGGTATTTCAATCCTAATGTGTTTGGTATCTTGCCGGTATCATGAACCCTTGCTTATGTTTAAGAGGCTACGAAATCGGTAAAAAGTTGGTATTTTCCTCACGTTCCCAAGTTAATTTGGTTTCGGTATTTCTCCACGGTTTTGGTTGGTATTTGGTTTGGTATCGGTATTCCGATTTTCCGTAATTGACATCATCCGTCTACCCTGTACGTCGATTGAAATCATAGGTCACGGAGCTCTTGAACCACAATTTATTCGCATTTTTATCTTCCACCTTTCAAAGTTGATGCATTTTTAGTTTGAGAAATGTTTACGGGAGTGCGACGCAACGTACCGTGCTCAATACTCAAGGTAAGAAGTAACATAAGCTCTATGTAATGCTCTACAATGCGCAACTCGCTCTCGTCACTCATGACAATGTTTTAGTTGAGTACGTGGAAGAGCGAACTACGCCACAAATGACACCTGTGAGGCAAGTAAAACGCAGATAGTGAGCAACTTTATCGCATCATGAAAGCAAGAAATGTCCAAAAGTACGCTCTCTTGAAATTTTGACGACTGTTTGCGTCTATTCATTGCTTCATCATGTTTTGGAATCGCGCCCAAGCGTGCATTACCATTTCCTGAGAGACGGGATCCTGTTGGACGGCAAATTACAGCTTCACTAGGTCGGCCCGTGGTCCGGCTAGGTCAGCGGCATGTGACAGGGGTCTCCGAAGGATGTGACAGGAGTCTCCGAGGGATCGTGACAGGAGTTTCCACCGGGCGCCTCCTCAGCGCGCGCTGGGGGTTGGCACCACTGGCGCCGCCCCGTCGCCAGCTCGGCGCCTCACCGCAGTTCCAGCTGGCACGCTGACCGATTGCAGAATACCGGCAAGGAAGTCATGCGTGGTTTGCAGCGCAATGTTTGGAGCATGTGCCAAGGGGCAGTGAGATGGGGCGTTTTCCTCTGATCGGAGCCAACAATAGTGTATAAATTACATTCGCATGCATACCACGTAGGACATAGGATAAAACAGCTAAATAATAGTTTGGAAAAGGAACAACCAGGTATAAACCGGAATCGATAATTAAGGTGTGTTTCATATCAATGTAAAATGGTAATGTGCAAATTGAGTGAGCACGTTTTTGGATGCAAATGTACGTACTAAATATACATATAATCATCATGCAAGTCGCATAAGGAACAGAACAAAAGGGCCGGTCATGTAATTGAAAGGACTTTCTAAGTCTATCTGCAGATGCAGAAAGGCCAAAGATTATGCACGTATATCTGACGGAAAATTGAACACTACCAAACAAGAATATTTCATGTGCGTTTTATCAAAAGAAACAAGCAAAAGGGACATTACATCACGCTTTCACCGGAAAGGCATTCCACAGCCCCGGAAGGGTGCACCTTCCGGGACTGGTACGGGGTGGCGCGAGCTCGTGCAGCCGACCGGCCATCTCGTCGTTTGACACCTGCCGAGCCTTCTCCGCGTCAAAATCCGACATTCCGCCATGACGACATCGGTCCGGAGTTTCCAATCCGAGGCTGTTACGACAATCAGAAAGATCGTGACGGTTATCTTGCATTGTTGTTGCGACCATCCTTGGACACATATATGGCGAAGTGTTGTCTGTCAGCACCGTTACATGTGGTGAATTCTGAGAAGATATTTGGGGTGTGTTGGATATTTTGTTATGAACTGCATGTTGGTTATTTCATCATGTACCTGCAGCTGCAGATGCTGTCACATGACAACAATTTACATGGGTAATGGGTATGCATATCATGAGACGCTCAGATAATATCAGTGCTTAATTCGCAACGTCTGCTAGATTTTTCCTAGTATTGGGCACGTTTGTAAGTACACATATCCGAGGAATTTTAAATAATTGTAGGCCATTATCATGCCTTATAAAACACGATTTATGATGAAATTGCGTTGAATTAGGCAAATATGTCAAAGCACTATCCGCGTCGACATGCCTTTCGCGGAACCCATGCCAGACCCATCCTGTGACCTGTATCGTGTATGTCACCCAGAATTAGAGTTGATCGGCTCGTTTCCGGAACACCTGTATTGTGACACAACTAACGACATATCACCGCACCGGTCAACACTGCACCATGAACCAACACCTGTCGCAATTCTCCAGGTGTGGCAGTTCGCACTCAAACGGGAATACACGCCCGAGTGCTGAGAAATTCTGGAAACATACGCCGTCTGAGCCGCAGCTCGATTCCACAGCTGGCCCGTTCACACGACCGCTCAACTGTGGGCTCAGAACCCGGAGAAGCTGATTTTCATGGCATCCAATGATCCCACCCGTCCACTTTCAGGAAGAGAGCTGTAAAAGCTGCAACCTTTCCGCCGTCTCGTCGGCTCAATCGGACTCCCAGGGATGAGCCTCAAAAACAGGGAAATTTTCCAACTTCGGGCCCCACAAACGGGGGGCCGCTTAGGTTCGTAACCTCAAGAACAAGAAAAGCTGCAAATCATGCGCACGTCAAAGGACACTTTGGATTTGTTAACTACGTTCGCTTCGCACTAGCAAACCTGAAATACTGGCGAAACATGGCCATTGCTTAACCACAACAAAGACAATGCGAAGAATAGCAAAGTTTGTGAAGAGTAGGTAGGCAGCGCACCAGTTTCATGCGCGAGTGAGAATCTTGGAATATAACACCATTCAACACAAAAGGTACTGGGTGTGCAGTTCACATGCCTTTCCAAAATTAGCCTGCCTAGCTCGTCACGCTGAGTAAGACGAAGCTAAAATCCAGCCATGGGCTCCTACTTGTAAAGCTTTACGGATTACATATGTCAGTAATTTCCTGAGCAGCACCTGGCTTATTGCATTTGGGCGTAACCACGGATGTAGCCTGTGTTGGGAGTCATCCTATCCACTGCCGACTGCGGATTGCAGCCGTGGAGCCTCCGTCCCCCAGCGCTCTCTGAGGCCTGACGTTTTCCCCAGTCCCCAGTCCCCTGCAGAAACAGGGGGAGGGAGAGCCATCGCCCGTCCGGCGCCGCGGAGCGCCCGATCAGCGACGCGTGGCGGACTGCGCCATTCTCCGTCTCAGCGGCGCCATGTCTGGCAGCAGCACTAATTTTACATGCCAGCCGGCGCCAGCATTCCGGTCTATGATTGCACCATTATTGGCCCGGAGTGAGCAGGGCCTCGCTGATAATGGCACTTCCGAGACGTCCCCCGGTGTGTGGAGAAAGGGTACGTCCAAGTATGCTGCGAAATAAGTGTGGGTTGACGTTGGCCTGTCTTTCTCCGCATGGGGGTCCGCATGGCGTGTCTGACTGGTCAAGAGAATGAAAATACCACAGCGTGCCACGCACTGGTGATTGGTGGATGTTTACGCTTTTTTTCGAATAAAAAGGAAACTACAAAGCTGAACATGCGCTATAGCGCAGGTTCAGCTTGCGCTATAGCGCTACAAAGATATCTTCGCTCGCTTCGCGTCGCGTTGGCCATAGAAATGATTAGGGAGAATAGTTGCAACTTGTTGTCTATATAGACAACAACCCATGGAGCGTGAAGGATGGAAATCAGAGTGGGTTTATATAAACTGAAAAACAAAATCGCACCACGTTCTCACAGCTTTCACCGCATTTTTGGATTAGCAACTAAAGACACTTTTAGTTCATCCAACTTTGACTGGCCAGCCAATTTCTTATAACCCGGCGACAAACCACAAAAAGCGGGCTCAGCGATACACGTGCCTCCATGGCTGAGGACTGAGGAGAACGGCGGGGTACGGCGCGAGTCCAATTCGAACTTCCACTTATTGGCACCGTTTCTGCCCCTGACATACATACATGGACAGTTATCAGCTAATGGTAGCTGCTTAATAAAATTAGTGGACGGGATGTAAGAACAGCGATATTCTAAAATGAGTCCAGCGTGCCTCGTACAATATAGAACCATAACACACCAACTCTGTACTGGTCATGTGTTGCCGTTGCGACTTTCTGGAACCGTCACAGCAGCCGCCCGTCCGACCAGAAGAGCCCTATGTGGACCGTTACGACTCGCGACAACTGCACGGTGCCAGCCTGAGACCGGCTCATGAGACACCCAGCTCAGGATAATCGGCTGGTCCGTCTGACCGAGTGCCGCTCCTGTCGTCCCGAGGCCACGGCAACCTCCGCTGTCACAAAACATCAGCGACTCGGGCACAAAGGCGCCCGTGGCACTTCCTGGTGGTTCCTGAGAGCGAGGACGCGTCTCGCTGGTGTGTACTGAAGGTACAGCTGTTGTGTAAATCGCTCACCAATGTCAGCGGCGGACACTCAGAGGACGTGCGGA